GCTTATAAGTATGTATCTTGTGACATTTATACTATGTAATTACCTGCTTTAAATTTGAGTTTATTTTTAAATCTGTGTTATTTTGAGACTCATCCATTGTTTAAGACTGTCCTTAGCCTATTTAAAAATGTACTTTTTTTTTTTTTTTTCTAAAGGGAGGTAGGAGAAGCAGGAAGCTTGTTTCAGCTCAGGTGATATTGGGTCTTCCAAGCTTGTCCTCCTTACAAGAAGGACATTGAGGTGCTGGGGTGTGTCCAAAGAAAGGCAACAAAGTTGGTTAACGATCTGGAGAACAAGTCTTACAAGGAGCAGCTGAGGAAACTGAGGTTGTTTACTCTGCAGAAAGAGGCTGAAGGGAGAACTTATTCCTCTTAACAACTGCCCGAAAGGAGGTTGTAGAGAGGGGTGTGTTGATGTCTTCTCCCTAGTAACAACCAACAGGACAAGAGAAAAAGGCCTGAAGTTGAGTCGGGAGGTTTAGATTGGATATTAGGAATGATTTCCTTGCTGAAAGGGTTGTCAGGCACTGGAAGAGGTTGCCCAGGGAAATGGTTGAGTCACCACCCCTAGGGGTATTTAAAAGACATATAGACATGGTGCTTAGGGACATGGTTTAGTGGTGGATGTGGCAGTACTGGGTTAACATTGGTCTTGATGATCTTAAAGGTGTTTTCTAACCAAAACAATTTTATTATTCTGTTCTGTGATATATCTGATTACAAGTGGAAGGTGAAAGTGAAAGGGAGGCTTCCCTTACTTTTTGGTGACTTCAGTAGTCTACCATAATCTGAATCAATTTGTTAATGTAATAGAAAGCTGCCTACTTTTTGGGGATAGGTTTTTGCTTGGTGGCTGAATCAGCAGAGTTGGCCTAACAAAGTACTTACCAAAGTCTGGAGTACTTTCAAGGGAGGAAATTGGATTTATGGGGATCAGTGAAAGAAAGATACCAAAGGGGTAGTAGGTTATCTTCCCAGTGGGTGATGAGCTGATAGATCACCTGGTCTTGGGAAGCAACAAGAAAAACACAGGTCTGTGAGATGGCTGAATTAAGCCAGTGTTTATCTGCTGCCAAAATGGGTGGACCTGATTGCCACTCCTTGTTTCAGCTATGAACTGCTGCTTACTTGTCAGCATCAACACTTCTCTGATACTTGAGAGAGCCATTTCAGTTCACAAGGATGATTTTAAAAAACAAAACCAAATAAATAGCAGGTATGGTTAGAAAAGTGTAAGAGACATTTTGAGTAAGGATGTGGAATTGTGTGGGAAGGAGTGAGTCTACCCATCAGAGGCAATGAGCACATATGTTAACTAAATATATTTGTCTTTAGGATTCAGTTTTGATACATATGTTGAGATGGCTACTACTCCAGGTCTTTTCCTCTGTCACCTTTCTTGGGCTATAGTGGTGCTTATGAGAACAAGCAAGAAAATTACCTTAGCCGCCTTCTCCCCATTTTTGAGGCATTTTTAGTTTTGAGCCAGATTAGCCTTCAAAGACACTCAAACATCATTGGAATGAATGGAGCTGCAGCAGGTGGTGAGATTGGTTTAAATTGTGGATCCTTATCTTCAGGCTGTAATCTGACAGTAGGTGAATTTTGTCTAGTGGTAAGAAAAGCCTGTAAGTTTTCCTCATGTTGATTGTAGTGCATCTGTGACTTTGCAGCTGACAACTGAAGTTTCTTTGCCCTATTCAGAGGGAGTCACAGGAACTAGAAGAGGAGGAGGGTGCAAGTCGGCTTTCTTAGGAAAGCCATTTAACTGACTCAGCTATATCATTACCTGTGCTGTACTTCCAGATTTGCGTTTTTAATTACCACATTTACAACCTGCTACTGAATAGAACAACCCTTGCCTTTACTATATATTTTGTAGCCCTAGTCTCATACACCTACTGCTGGTTTCAGTGACTACAATTTTATGATGGATCTGTTTCTTGGTTTGGTATAATTTGGCATAATCTTTTGAGTGAGAAGGGAGGGGTTAGATTTACCACTTAGCTGTTCTGACTTGTTGAGCAGTTCAGTGAACACTAATGTTGAGGAAAGGAGGTGTTGGAGGATGGCTGGGCCAAGGCAAACAGCAGCAAAGCTCTGGCAACCCTTTGCCTAGGGTCATTGATGAGTAGAACGCAGATAAAAAGAGGAAGCTGTTAAGGGAGGCAGAAGAATTTAAAGACCTAACTCAGGCAGATAGTTTGGAATTCAGAGCTGGAAGGTAAAACTTGTTTAAAATAGGTCACACTTCCTGTCACTGTTGGGGTATTAAGGAGTGACAGAGGGATCCTAGAACAGGCACTTGTAAAGAAGCACACTGTTCCCATCTGAACATATAATCCATTGTTTTAATTTGTTCCTAAGCAAGAGCTTCTTCTTACTGTTGGTTGGTGAAGTGTATCTAAGCTGTGTTCATTTCTTGTTTTTAGGTGCTATAGTATTTTTTCTTTGGACTTGGTTTATCTGAAGCTATATTAAAGTAACTGTGGCAGTAAAATGGGGAATTAATTAATAAATAACTGAATCTGTGTTCTACAATTGACTATCATAACACATAATTGCTTTTCCCAGATTGTTTGCCTCATTACAGGTGTAAGATTTAAAGTGTTAAGTGAACAAGATATGTGGCAAACAATTGGCTTTTAGAGTGTAGTTACTTCAAACCATTTGTATGCTGTGGCATTAATGACCATGCCGCAGCATCTGTTTAAGTCACAAGGTGGTAAACTGATCACAAGTTCATATATACAGCCCCCGTTCCTTATATGGGTTCCTTGCTATGTCTGTGATAGCATGTTCTGCTTAGGGTGTGGAAGTAATGGGCCTCAAACTATTATCCTAAGAACTTTGTTGTTACAATACTTGCAGACTTTTTTTGTAAGCTTCTGAAGTATCAGGAATGGAACTACATGGAAACTATTTCTTCTGTTTCTGTCTGTGAACCCCTCAGTGTGCAATCTACTCCTAAAAGGCATACTTCGTGCATGTAACTAGAGGTGCAGTCATTTTATGCCACTTTGAGACAGTGCTTGCATCAAAGAGGGGCTGTGCTTGTCTGTCTTCGTTGCTGTGCTGACACCGGTGTTTGTTCTCCTAAATCAAAAAAGCTGGTCACCATCTTTACAAGAAAAAGCAATACCAGATTGTCACTTAAGAACTAGTGCTGGGACACCTAGTCGAATGTCACTTTGATTAGATTTTGCAATATTTTCCTAATATCTGTGCAGGAATATTGCATAGTTTTGAGGTTCTGGTTTATTCAATAGTACTGAAAACACTTTGTAAGGTTACTGGAAAACGCTGCTCTGTATTCTATTTCTGCTGTAGTTTATAGGTGGTTTTTTTTGTAACTGGGAATGTGATTATGTTCTTCAGTGGGGCAGCTGTGTTTAATTGGTGGTATGAAAGTTACCTGTATATTTTAAACAGTGTTTTGTGAGTAGAAGATTTTAATATTTTAAGATTCCTTAAAGATCTATGTTCCTTCTCTCTACAGCTCCAGTATTATATGTGTCCTTCTCCATGTTTCTTTCCTGCTTCTAGTGCTTTCCACCATTCTTCATCTATTTCTCTTAAGTCCAGTAATGTTGTTGGACAAAAACTATACCTTTTTCCAAGCCGTTTGTGTTCTGACAGCTTGCTATCATAAGCCAGAGAGCTACAGAAAAAAGATCTGTTAAGTCCAATGCTGCAAACTTTGCCTTGGGCTGTAGTTCCATGCTACTCTAAGCTGTTGCTCTCCCAGCTGCTGCGTTTCTCTTTCCTCATTTGAACCAACTCTTATGTTTGTCAGGCCCTGGCACTAAACTGTTTCTGGGGTTTTTTGGTGACCCTTCTTGACAGGTTAGCATGCTAACCCAGCAGACAACTGAAATGGCTTAGTCAGATGAGTTCTGAAGCAATATGTAGAAATGGGTATGAACAGGCTATAGGGAAGAGAGTAGGGACAGCAGCACCAACAGCTGTCTTAGGCTACTGGAATTCCTGCATCGCCTGGGATATTAATCTCAGCACCACCAATTTATCACAGTTCATTTTGTGGCAAAATTCAAGTCTCCAATTTCTGTTAGATTTGATTGAAAGTGATCACTGATCTTAGCTTTTCAGCCCAAAATGACAGGTGGTAGTGATTCTGATTAAACCTTGTTTTCTTGTGAAGCCATATAAAAAAACTTTGGGAATGTTGACTTTAGTAGTAGAAAGATCAGTGTTACTATATGCAAACCTCTGGTACACATCTCTTGTGTCTTGCAGTATGGTTTTTTCCTTATCACTTTGTTTGCTGTCTTTCATTACAAGATACATTGTGTTGTCACTAGCAGAAGAAATTGCCCTTTACTGACTAGTGTACATTTAATGTGAAGCCATTAACCCATTTGGGTCTGAATTTAGGATATCTGAGGGGAACAATGTTTGTGTTGTCTATCTGCTGGCTGTAAGGTGAACTCAGCTGTGCCAGTTCTGCTTGAACAATTTTTTGGCCTATTGGGAACCAATGGGCAGTAAAGTATAGTGGTTGTGACCAGTCTTACGTGTATTGCTGTTACCTAAGCTGACAGATCAGGGGATAGGTGGGAGTGAGATGCATTGAGGATCTAGTTAGCTTGGAAGAAAACAAAATACTGAAGGGGAAGCAGATGTGTGGTCATGAGGAACAGCAAGTCCTGTAGATAACGTGGAGAGAGGATGTGAAATGATGCATTGAAGATCTGTTAGGAAACTTCTTTTATGTAATTTTAAAAGCAGAGCTACTTTTTCAAAAGAAGAATCTTTATTCCATTTTTTTTAAATAACTGCTTTGACTTCAGTTTTTTGGAACTTTAAAAACTGTTGTTATGAAAAAGTTGCATACACTTCAAAGTAGGTGAATATCTAGTATCTCAAGTTCTACTAAGGAATATTAAACAATATACACTGTTCATGTAAATAATTCTTGTTCTTAACAGGTTGGTTTTTTTGTTTAAATTTGGTTAACGCTTCCTTCTTTTTTCTAGGTGTTGGGAAATCATGTTTATTATTACAGTTCACGGACAAGCGGTTTCAACCAGTCCACGATCTGACTATTGGTAGGTCTCTTTTGTCCCCCACAATGGTGGTTAAACAACTGGGGTACCCTGGCATGCATTTGAGTGTGTTGTGCTGTGGGTAGTGTAGGATTTGTGCTGTATGAAGGTAGCAGTGTCTCTTTAGCTGATGAATATAAAGCCAAGTGGAGGCCTTTTTTCATACTGGGAAGGTACAATCTGAAACCAAAAAAATAAATCATAGTGTCTCAGCTGCCTCTTTAGAAAAGCTAGAACTGGGCATGGAAGCAGAATTGACCAAGCTTTTACAGTATCAATCACCATTGATGGTGAGGCAAACGGCAGATTTTTCACTAGGGAACAGAATATCAGCCTAGCCACACAACCTAGAAGATAAGTTACAGATGAACTAAAGGAAAGTTAGCCTTAAAGGTGAATAAACAAATTTAGTATTTGGAAAGGCTGGCTTCTGGATAAAGGAAGATTGAAGACAATTTGTTAGGTATTAATTTACAGTGATGGCAGAGGAAACTTATACATGTTGGCAGAATGCATTGCCTCTGATCTAGCTATAGTAAATTATACACATTTTTCCTTATCTTTCCACACAAAATATGAGAGATAGTATGGAATGCTTCTGTGGGCAAGCTTAGTCTTCATATAGTTTCAATGTGAAGCGTAACAGATGCCAGCCTCTGATAAAGTTGCAGAATTTTTGAAATTCTTCCTGTTGTTTCAAGGAACTTATCAGCTCTAGTAATGTTGAGCATTGCACAAAATGTATCCCTAGTCTCTATTTTTAGTTTCTGCCGTGGAATAGGTAGGCTTCCTGTGTTTGCAAGTATTGAAACAGATGTTTGACATATGAATAAACATTCTTGTAACAGAAGGAATTGGGTGGTGTGGTTATGGCTTCTCTTTCCTTCTCACAGTCCTTGCATACCTTGTATATGGCTGCCTAATATAATAGAAATGCATGGGCTAACATCAGTTTTCAAATATTTCTGAGGTCTTGGCAGCAGATAGGCTGGCTGAATAAAGAGCCCAGGTTCTTTAGGAAGGCATGAGTTATTGTCATCTTTTCTTCTTCAGGTCTGCCAAATATATAACACCTTATATATCACTTACGCCTTTGGCAGCCCTGTCACACCAGCAAACTGATAGGCTGTGGGAAACAGCTTCAACTCAGCAGGATAGTTGTAGTGCTAATTCTTTGTCTGGCATATAGGTAGCTGAAATCTGTGAGAAGAAACTGAAGCTAGTGGGGTGAGAATGTGAACCTAGAGAGCAGCATAGTGAGGGATGCAGGAATGGCTCATGGGAAGCTGCTTGGAAAAGAGAAGAAGGGACATAAGCTGGAAGCCTTATTTCACTGAACTGATAGGGTGTGTGTATGTGTTTTAGGCAGGAGAATGCTTCTACCTAGTACCTAAACAGATTTAGAAGGTGAGAGGTAAATGAGAACTTGGGTTCAGAGCCATAGGAATGCCCATACAGGGCAAGATGCATTGATCTTATCTAGTTGACTTACAAGTATAACATTAAAGCTCCTGCTGATGTTTGACATATGAATAAACATTCTTGTAACAGAAGGAATTGGGTGGTGTGGTTATGGCTTCTCTTTCCTTCTCACAGTCCTTGCATACCTTGTATATGGCTGCCTAATATAATAGAAATGCATGGGCTAACATCAGTTTTCAAATATTTCTGAGGTCTTGGCAGCAGATAGGCTGGCTGAATAAAGAGCCCAGGTTCTTTAGGAAGGCATGAGTTATTGTCATCTTTTCTTCTTCAGGTCTGCCAAATATATAACACCTTATATATCACTTACGCCTTTGGCAGCCCTGTCACACCAGCAAACTGATAGGCTGTGGGAAACAGCTTCAACTCAGCAGGATAGTTGTAGTGCTAATTCTTTGTCTGGCATATAGGTAGCTGAAATCTGTGAGAAGAAACTGAAGCTAGTGGGGTGAGAATGTGAACCTAGAGAGCAGCATAGTGAGGGATGCAGGAATGGCTCATGGGAAGCTGCTTGGAAAAGAGAAGAAGGGACATAAGCTGGAAGCCTTATTTCACTGAACTGATAGGGTGTGTGTATGTGTTTTAGGCAGGAGAATGCTTCTACCTAGTACCTAAACAGATTTAGAAGGTGAGAGGTAAATGAGAACTTGGGTTCAGAGCCATAGGAATGCCCATACAGGGCAAGATGCATTGATCTTATCTAGTTGACTTACAAGTATAACATTAAAGCCCCTGCTGAAACTGCCGATTGAATAAAAAGGCTTGTGTTACATAGCATAAATTTTTCAATGTAGTGCAATAATTTAGTCTATGGGGGTGCATATTCTATTCCTCCTGTGAACAACTCGGGAGAGAAGAAAAAAGACACTTTATATGGAGTTGTGCAAAATTCAGCAAACCACGAAACAAAAAAAAACCCAACCCCCCAAAAAACCAAAAACAACAACAAGAAAAAAAAACCAAAACCATACAAAGCCCAACTTGAAACACCTCCCCACCCCTTCCACCCCCCCCCGTAGCATTTGTTGGTAGATGTGAACATAGTTTGGTTTGTCTGTTGCCCTCAGGACATGCTCTCACTGTAAATCCGAACAGCTTATATTCCTTCTTTAAAAGAAAAAACTTGACATCAAACAATGTGTTGCTTCAAGTTTATAATTTTCTCTCAGCAGATACTTAGATGAAACGGGATAAATATTATTTTAATTTTTCTGTTGGATTCTGTATAGAAACTAAAGATGTAGTATGATGGCTGGATTTAAGTCAGTGGCTCTATATCTGCATTTTGTGATCAAGTAATGCTTGCGGTGTTGACACTTGTAGTCCAAGGATCTTCCCCTGGCTTTACAATCAACTTCAGAGTGCTGTCATTCACCTGCTTCCTTCTTCCCCCTACCTCCCTACCCCCCACCTCATCCCATTCTTTCAACTTGTTTGCATGCAGTTACTGCAAGATATTCGGATGCCAAAGAGAACACAATGTTCTTTGGCCCATGACTTCTATTTGGCTCAGTATCCTGTGTGGCAGAGAGTGGTTGTTCCCTGTCTCCTTCCCCAAAAGTAATTGTGCAGAAACCAGTGCTGCCCCCCAAAATATTCTAAACAAGCTTTTGAAGAGTCATTTGAAATGCCTAAAATCAGGGCTGCTTAGTTGGAAGATTTCAGTCCAAATGTAGATGGTAACCAGTATTAGACAAAACTAAATCTACCTTTTTTTTTTAACATAGATTAATGGAAAGTTGATAGCCTTTAAGTATATCCACTATTTAAGCATTTGTCAGATTTTAACCACTGTAGTAATAGCCTCAATTTATATTTAATTTACTGTTAATGATCTTAAAATTGCTTTAAAAGGTGGCTCAAGAGGCTGACTTTTTCCACTAAAGAAATTACTTTTGTTTATTTGAAACACAAATAATTTTTTCACTCAGTTATTAAATTTAATCTTTAGCTACATAGATTAATGGAAAGTTGATAGCCTTTAAGTATATCCACTATTTAAGCATTTGTCAGATTTTAACCACTGTAGTAATAGCCTCAATTTATATTTAATTTACTGTTAATGATCTTAAAATTGCTTTAAAAGGTGGCTCAAGAGGCTGACTTTTTCCACTAAAGAAATTACTTTTGTTTATTTGAAACACAAATAATTTTTTCACTCAGTTATTAAATTTAATCTTTAGCTAGAATTTTGGAAGCACTTTTTTCATAAAGGCAGGTGATTTTTAATTAATACAGTGATTAAATTTATCTTACTGAAGGCAACATTTGTATGCTTCCTTAATAGACTATTTTATTGATAAAGAATTGTAGATTTAATTTTTTCTAAACTGGCTTCAGCAATCTGTCATTAGTAGAGTGTTAAAATAACCATGACTCTTCAATTTCTTGTGTGCATTCAAATGCACAAGTTTTTCTCCTGCTGATCTAAAGCTATTAAATCGCTTGGAAAACTTTGTAGGAAATACATCCTTGACACTTGCTCTAATTAATGCATTTTTAAAGCACTTAGAAATTAACATTGTTCTTCCTCCTGGAAAACTGTTCAACTCTTTCAAGCAGCTGGAAAATTAACTAAAAGCAGTTTGTGAAAGATTATTTCCTACAAGTACAATGTTGAATTAACTTTATGTTATTGCTTTCATAGTACTTGACATTCTTCTTTCTAATATATGCTAATAATGTAATCTTTTGTAAAATCTATTCAGGTGTAGAATTTGGTGCTCGAATGATAACTATTGATGGAAAACAGATAAAGCTTCAGATATGGGATACGGTAAGTAATAAATCATGTAAATTATTTAAACATATGGCTCCGCTAGCCCTCCCTTTGTTCTGGTTAAGCTCTTTATCAACAGCATCCATGAGAGACTCTGTTCTTTGTCTTGCAGCTTTCTTTGTCTTTTATGAAATTGAAAAATTTGCTAAAAGTTAGTTTTTTGCTGTGACTTACTCTTAAAACAGTGCACATTTCTGCTCTTTGCACTGCAACTTCTTTAAGGAACAGTGACAGGTTTGTAGGAGTGGGATTCATGCTGTTGTCCCCTGACAACAATGCTGCCTCCCTTTTTGGTGAAAGTTTTCAGTATTATTAAGAACTGTAATTTCTCTGAATAGTTTGCACATTCGTGTGGGGTCTGGTTAAAGTAAGATCTGTTTGGGAAATTGTGGTGTGTTTATTAGCTGTAATCTAGAATTCTCTAAAGGAAATGTTTGCATTTCCAGTGTAGAAGAAAAGATAGGGCTCACTGTTTTCATTGAAGAAATCCTAAGAGTCAGTTTCAGTATACTGACGAAGATAGTAAATACTTCAGACAATTAAGAAGGGAATAGTAAAAGCCTAAGGTTTGGAAAAACCTACCAAAAAACGGGATTTTAGGTTAAGATACATTAACAAAGTCAGCTGTTTTCTTCTTGTCAGTCACTTTACCATAAAGCAGTCAGCCTCCATGTCTACACTTGTCGTGCAGTGGCTTCAGGATGCCCTTACTGATGTGTCTTTCAAACTTGCTTAGCTGTTCTCTGAAGTTTTCTGTTTTCTTTTCCAAAAGTGTTTTAGGATGCTTTTAGAAATTAACTGATACATGAGCCATAGCCTTATTATGTGCTCTCTTTGCTATAACAAATGAAGGGAGATACATTCACATCTGCATGCCTAGCTACATGCATGTGTATATAAAAATGTAAACAAATGCAATATTGTAGCTAACTTCATAGGAAAGATCTAAAGTACCTTACTTATTTTTCAGATTCATAACTTGAAATGGCATTTAATGCATGTGCCTCCTTGGAAGTTCTCCATGAAAAGTTATAGAAGAATATGGTCAGGTTGTGGTTACTTTAGGCTTTTTCTGCCCTCAGTGTTTATAACTGGATTGCTGACTGCCAAGGTGGCAGTTCATCTTTAAGTTCAACAGACAAGCAAATCTGCATAAATAGTAGCTTCATAAGCAGACTTACTATACAATGAGACTAGGTGAGAACATATGTACATTGGTCCTTATTTGCTAAAATTGGGACAGGTGCTCTATAGACAATTTTGCTAATCTTACTACTAGTGCAGCCACTGTCTTCCATTGGCTTTCAGACTGGTTTTGTTAATGTGCTCTTATCTGATTCTTGGACACAAGTTAACTTCAGAGATTTTTCTAGTATATTATGTTTTTATTAGTGCCTCTGACTCAGTGGCTCTTTGCAGTCTGTTTGCTTTCTTGAATGCTTGCAAAGTGTCTGATAACCAAAATTTTAACATAATTGTTTTTTAAAATATGACTTACAAACTCCTTTTGGGCAGGGATTTTATTTGGCTAGCTTCGTAACTATGTAATACATACACTGAAAATACTCATTCAAAGCTTTTATGGACTGAGGAGTTTGTACGCCTGCGTTGTAGTTAATAATTTATAAGTAATGAATGATTTCCTATATTTGCTGTAGTTAAAATTTGAACTCTATACAGTCTGATTTTTAAAACACAAGTATTTCTATTCTAGTCAAATCTTGGTTTGTTAGCATGTATAAATTCCACTGACTCAGTTCTGATCTTGGGTGCAAAGGTTAAAGGAATAGCTAGATAAGAAATATGAGAAGGTAATTGTCAAGAGATGTTTTACTTATGAGTGTTAAGGTACACAGAGATGTCCATAATGACCAAGGTTACCGTGTCTATATTGTGTATCTAGGTTGAGCATTTCCTGATTATTTTTTTTTCTATTAGCAAAAACTGCTAGCTGTTACTGGTGCTAGCTCCATATTTATTAAGCTGTAACAATTTCTGTTTGATAAGAGAAAGTTTGTTTTACACCTATGGTTAAAAGGTTTTCATGTTTTCAGTTGGTGCATCACAGAACTTTCACTTCTCCGATTTAGTGCTAGCCTTGTATACCTGCCATTAATCCATCATTGAACAGAAAACATCTTAAGCAGAGACATAGGAAGTGGAGGACTAGATAAAATTGGCTTTTACTGGTTAACAATGAATAAGGATTTACTTTCTTAAGAGAATCAAACACTTCACATTTTTCTGGCTAGATACTTCTATGCAAAGGTGCTCAGTTTGTGTTGCCTTCAGCAGCTCCAAGGAAAGGTATATCTTAATAATGAGAATATAGGGAAGCTGCAGCATACCTCACTGCAGAGGTAAGTCATACCTTACAGGGGTAGCTGAAGCTAAAATGGTTGCATGTCTGTGAGATCCATTTATGTATCCTCTTGTATCATAACTCAATAATATTTGACTTTTCATTAGCTTCTTTATTTGGATCAGGAGTATGTTACAGAAGTTAGCTCTGCTTACTGCAGTCTGGTGTTCGTGTGGGAGTACCCAGTTCCTTTTGGATCAACTGGAAGATAATCTCAAAGAATTCATGTGTCCATTAGAAAATGTAGTCCACCATTTGGCCCTGTGAGCTGGTAGTCTAGTAAAACTAGTTTGATGGAATAAAACAAAACAAAACAAAACAAAAACCCTCACAAAATACCCCAAACCAACAGCAATAAAAACCCTAAAACCCCACATTCCATGAAGGATATTCAGTGTGGCCCTTGCAAACTTAATGTTAGGTGTTGCAGTCTTAGTTCTACTGTGGATCCTATGTCTGCACCAGCAAATAGTGTGTCCTGTTCTCTCTCAGCTGCAGACTGCTCTTGATCTTCCCACTCCTGACCTCTGCAAGCTTGCTGCTATGTGTGCTGTGGCATAAATATTTTTAGGTCTGCAGGTTGTTGGGTTTCACTTTTTCTTTCTAATGCATTTAGGTCAGCCAAGGGGAATTGTAGGTACTGGACCAAATTGTTCATTTACCTTGTCTGTCTTTAAATCTCTAGATTATTTCCTTTCCTGTGTCTTTAATCTTAGTGATGGTTTTCAGTTGTTCGATAGACAGAAAAATATTTTTGTCAAAACTGGGTAGTTGGTAATTGCCTACTAAAGTAAGTTACTCTTTTGTGAAAGTGTGGTATTTGAACTAGTGTCAGTTGCAAAAATAACTTTTAAGGAACTAGAAGTGGTCTGCAGAAGTTGGTAAGGATCAAAATGACCATTCTAGGAGCTGTTAAGCTTTGTGAGATTAAACAAGCTGTGTAGATTAGTTTGTTTATCCTGTGGCAGCCTAACACTGAGAAATATTAGAATTGCTTCTCTTGAGAAAAACTTGATTGTTGTGGAGAGATACTGGGCCTGTTACCAGGATGAGTCAATAGCCTTCATTTTGTTGTTGAGGGGGATGTTCTGTATTGTATTGACTTACTAACAAGTCATTGTTGATGAGCAAAAATAAGCAGTAATTGAAAAAGGGAATTCATATTCTCTCAGATGCTGCAGGGGGAGATATCAGTGATGATTCTAAGTAATACTACTAATGTTTTCTGAATTAAACTGATGTGGATGAGAATTTCTCATGTATGTAAATACAATAATGTTTAATATCTGTTTCTGTTTAATTTCATTGAAATTATCAAAAATATTTATTATGTTTCTATAACACTTTTTTTGGGGGGGAAGAACAACACCATGTCCCAGTACAGGTTGGGGGCTGACTTGCTGGAGAGTAGTGTAGGTGAAAGAGACCTGGGGGTCCTGGTAGACAGGAGGATGACCATGAGCCAGCAATGTGCCCTTGTGGCCAAGAAGGCCAATGGCATCCTGGGGTGCATTAGAAAGGGTGTGGTTAGTCGGTCAAGAGAGGTTCTCCTCCCCCTCTATTCTGCATTGGTGAGGCCGCATCTGGAGTATTGTGTCCAGTTCTGGGCCCCTCAGTTCAAGAAGGACAGGGAACTGCTTGAAAGAGTCCAGCGCAGAGCTACAAAGATGATGAAGGGAGTGGAACATCTCCCTTATGAGGAAAGGCTGAGTGAGCTGGGTCTCTTTAGCTTGGAGAAAAGGAGACTGAGGGGTGACCTCATCCGTGTTTACAAATATGTAAGGGGTGAGTGTCAGGGGGACGGAGTTAGGCTTTTCTCAGTGATGACCAGTGATAGGACAAGGAGTAATGGGTGTAAATTGGAGCATAGGAGGTTCAAGCTGAATATCCGAAAAAAATTTTTTACTGTGAGAGTGACAGAGCACTGGAACAGGCTGCCCAGGGAGGTTGTGGAGTCTCCTTCACTGGAGACATTCAAAACCCACCTGGATGAGTTCCTGTGTGATGTACTCTAGGTGACCCTGCTCTGGCAGGGGGGTTGGACTAGATGATCTTTCAAGGTCCCTTCCAACCCCTAAGATTCTATGATTCTATGATAGGACTTCAGTCTTGTTTAAACTTAGTATAGTCTTGTTCAGAGTAAGACTAAATATCTGAAATACTTTTTTTTTTTTTTTTTATAAGCTCATTTCCTAGTTTCCATACAAGTGAGCTTTCAAATTAAATATACAATCTTTTCTGGTAGTTGAGCATGTTTATGCTAGACAGATGGTTTAATTGTTAAAGATGTCTCTCTTTTCTCCAAAACTACAGTGTGAGTTGCCATTTCCAGATATTCTGAATATACTAATCCTTCTTGGAAATTCAGTTATTTTTAATGTACTTGCAAACACTTTGGATCTAGTAGAACCAGGTAAAGTTCCCTTAATTCATTAAATCTCATTAAATCCCTTAATTCATTTTATTTTTGTAATATTGGCAATTGCTAGGATGCAGTGCTCACTTTTCAGAGTTCTTTACTAATTTTCTACTAAATTGTATTTCTACTTGCTCTGTTAGTAAGAGCGTATTTTTACGTTCATGGGCAGTTGGTGAATTTTTCTACTTAATTTTTACTTTTTTGACATCTTTAACC